GTCTCGACCCATTACCACATATCCTTGTAACAACAAATAGCAAACAATTTGGTAAAAACTTTAAGATTAAGAGCTGTTTACTGTGTTTTCTAAAATATATAAGTATTTCTGACTGGTGAACAAGTCTGTATGTACACACACACACACACACCTATAAATTATATATAAAATAAACATCTGTCCTTGAACAGAAAAGAGGGCGAAATCTGTAAAATGAATGGTGAATAGTTTGCCCAACTCCTTTTATACAGCAAATAAAAGAGTAGGCCATTCTTTCCAGGTATGTTCTAACTAGCAGCATAGATATTTTAGTAGGTCAGCTAACTGTTTAATATGCCTTAGCGCATGATTTGGACTGTATTAGTCTTTATATTTGTATAATTTTATAATTTCATCATCATCATTTGGAAACGTCAAAATGCTTTATGATGCAAAATAACTTCTGTTAAAGAATACGTGTATTTGGCAGTTATTCTTCAAAATTATGCTTTATTGCCTAGGAACCCAATATTGCAATGTGAATGTGCTTAAGTTTAACCACTACAACTGGGGCCTTAGTTAGGGCCATTCCTGCAGCCCATACTCAGGAATATTCTTATAGATTTTATTGCAAGTTTTAAGTAAGTAAGGACTGCAGATCAAGCCCTAAGTATTTTAAGATCCTTGACTGAATGACAGTATTAGTGGAAGGAATGATTACTACAAACAACATACCTATGAATATACAATCCAGGAAGTCTAGCCTGACATGAAACACCTCTTCTTACTCCATGTACTAACTTTTGAACAGGAACTGCTAAATTATGCTGACAAATTAAGCATTTTTAATGGAGCAAATTATGGAGCAGAGGTAGCTGCTCCAGAGTAAAGACTGAAACCCGCTTTTTGGCCTACCCTACATAAAGTTTTTTTCAGCTTCAAATTTGGTATGTGTGGTCTGTGACCAGCAGATGACTGCTTGACCTAATCAGAAGTTAGTTGAACAAAGCCACTTAGAAATATGGATGCAGAAAATTAATTGTGCCACATTGCTTCTTCAATGCCTACTTACAAAATGGCTTGAATGAAAGACTTAGTTTTATTAGAGAGAGCTAGGTGTACAGTACTGCATAAACCACCTGTGAGATGATGTCAAGGGAACATACTAAGTTTTCAGGATCATCACAGCAGCAAATCAGAATCCAGCAGATGTAAGGATTGTTGGGTACTCCAAGGTGTAAGATAAGACAGAGTTTTTATTATAACTATGTGTATTACCATAGCGCCTGGGAACCCCTTGTACTAAGCATTCTACAAGCACAGAACAAAGGATGTTCCCTGCTCCAAAGAGTTTACAATTTAAATATAAGACAAGAGAAAACAGATGGATAAAGACATACAGACCAGGAAGAACAATGAGACAATGTTGGTCAGCACGATAGCCAGCAGTCCCAGTAACCTAACTGTTGTCAAGATTTTTGTAAGCATCATGGGAAGGAGAGTTTTAAGGAGAGGTTTTTTATTATTATTATTTTATATCTCTGTAATTTTATTAATTATTATTATTATTGTTCCTTTCCCTTCCCCAGCCTGGACATAAAATAAGGGAGAAATCAGCTGCATTCCCTTCAAAAAATACTGTATGGTTGATAACTACTCTTCCTACATCAGCTATCACTCAGACAGAGAAAACCACCCCATTGCAAAAAAATTTTTAAGATTGGTTGTGATTTAACCACGTCTTTCATCAAATTTAATGAAACACACATGGTGGTTGAGGTAATATCTTTTATTGAACCAGCTTCTGTTAGTGGAAGGGACAAGCTTGTGAACTCCACCATCATTCCTTTAGCCCCCCCTCCCATCCCAAAAAAACAAAAACAAAAAACAAAACAAACACGCTTATGGAGGACCTAGGCCTAAATCATCTGCACGGCTTTGAAAAATCCCACTATTCTTTATCAGGTCTTTTCCTCACTCATATCTATTTATAGCAACTGACTAATGCACAGTGATCTGTAGGAGCTTGTTTGATTTTCTTCTTGCTGCTCTCTCTCTCTGTATGAGGTTGATTTCCAGTGCTAATAGTGAATCTATATGTGAACAATCCCTTTAACTTGATATGCATGTTAACAAAAGAAACCCTTTCTTTTTCTCAATTTTGTTTTATTGAAACTCCCAGAAACCACCTGAGTCAACAACAGTGATAGTTATTCCACAACAGTGATAGTTATAAATTCAAGTCAACATTGATTCAGGCAGCTCCTGTAATAGTTGATCATTTTGGCCTCATGAGTGTAATAGAAGGCACCAGGGTCTGCCAGCATTTCCAGCCCACTGCACCCGCCAACCAGGCCGTCCACCTGCAGGGTTTAATCAAAATACTTCCAAAATGAGCTGCAGAGAGTTCCCTCCAGACAAGAGAGCAATTTGTTGGTATCAGGTGGATGCCTAAATCTACAACTTCACAGATGGCAGACTCTTTCAAGTTGCTAAGTAACCTTTACATTTTCAACTGAAGTGTCTTATAAACCCGTTGGTCTCCTCTGAGTGGGACAAGGGGAGCTTTCTTAATTCAGAAAAGGTTCTGTTTTTACATCTCTTCAAATTTTCTTGCAAAAGTCCTGTTTGCCACCTCGGGATACGGAATACAAAACTGGAATCTCAGATACATTAGATGAAGCCCCTTGTACCGCTC